AACTTAAAAGTGCACATGAACCGGCTGAGGAGAGTGTTACATGATTCTTTTCAGTAGGTCTGGAGAGGGGTTGCAGTGATTCATTTCTTTTTTTTTTTAAAGATTTTATTAATTAGAGAGAGAACGAGCAGGAGAAAGGCAGAGGGGGAGAGAGAGACAGAGAGAGAAGCAGACTCCCCGCTGAGCAGGGAGCCCGATGCGGAGCTCGATCCCAGAACCCTGGGATCATGACCTGAGCCGAAGGCAGACGCCCAACCGACTGAGCCAGCCAGGCGCCCCACGACAATTCATTTCTAGCAGTGCTCCTGCCACTGGCCCAAGGACCACATCTGGCAAGAAGGCGCTGTTTAGACTATGAGGTCTGTGAGACCAAGGACACTGTCTTGTTTCCCATTTTATCCCCAGTCTTGGCATGATGCCTGGCACAAAGTGAGTGCTCAATAAATATTTGCTGAATTGAATTAATGGGGGACACTGGCTACAAGGACAAATTTTATAGCTTTTCTGTTAGAGTAAGCTCATAGCCAAAAACCAAATGGATAAAATACCAACCGTAATTAAACATGTGTTTAACCAGTACTTTGGAGTTTCCCAAGCACTTTAATTAATGAGAGCTTATTTGATTTTTACTCTTAACAATAATCATCTGAAGAGGAGCTGTCATTATTTTTCTGTTACGGTTGATAAAAGCGAAGTCACAGAGGGCAAGTCACTGGCCTAATGAAGGCTAGCAGCAGGTACGCTGCAATGTTGGTCTTCTGACTGCCAGTTTTCCCTGCTGTACTTTGAAATAGTAAATAGTAAAAACTTGACCAAAAGCAGATTATTTAACTTTTAGTATCATATACCGAGAGGCTGCTGATATCCCTATTCCTTGTTGTTACACACTTGGCATAGAAGAGCTAATATATCTAAAATATAAGTGTATGGGTGTGATATGATGAGATTTGTCAAAAAAGAACTCACAAACTCTCTTTGGGCTGCTTGACCAAACTATCTGTGCCTGAAGGCTCTTTTCTCTCCCTTCAGAAGGGGTTGCATCTGCTTACCTTTCATTAGGACCAGAGACTTCCTTCCCCAGGGCAACATCCTGCACATCCCATGGTCTGCAGGGGCAGGGCGGCTGGCAGCCAGATCCAGACTGCCTGGGTACAAAGTGATCCTGTCAGATCAACACCTCCCCCATGGTTGCTTACAGGCTTGCCCTAAAGGAAGGGAGGACAACAGGGGGATCGGGATTCTTCACCTAAACTCAGACCTACAGTGTGTCTAGCATAGCACACAGGCCCTGGTATGCCTTGGGACATGGGACGCATTCATATCTTGTTTCTTCTTGCTAATCCTTGATTTAGAAATGTTCCTAATAAAGTCTATTCCAAGACCCATGCCTTGTGATGCTGTGGAATGCATCTGAGCTATTGTTACGGTAGGTGGCAGTCTTAAAGGGACCTCCCTTAACCCACCTTGCATGATGGAGGGGGTTCAACTGTTGCTTTACAAGCTGAAGCTCAGCTTTCTGTTCTCTTTCCCACATTTATTTATTTATTTATTTATTTATTTATTTATTTATTTATTTATTTGAGAGAGCGAGCGAGCCCACTTACATGAGTAGGGGGAGTGGCAGAGGAAAAGAGAATCTCAAGCGGACTCCGTGCTGAGTGCAGAGCGTGATGCGGGGCTTGATCTTATGACCCTGAGATCATGACCTGAGCAGAAACCAAGAGTTGGATGCTTACCCAACAGAGCCAGCCAGGTGCCCCACCATAAACTTTTCATCTATGGCCTCTTTTGCAAAACAGACCACAGTGCCAGGTACACAATAGATAAAATAATAGTAAGGTACTAAGTCAACATTTTATTGTTTGTAATCTTGCCCTCACCTCTCTCCTAAGCATCTGTGTGAGCATATTGCAGCCCAGGCTCTGCAGGCCCATGGAGGAACCTCACGGAAGTTTCCCACAGGGGAGCCTGGAGGTGGTATGCAGGCTCCCATGACTCTTGGGGGAGACAGAGATCAGGAGAGAGAGCTCACAGTCCCATCAAATTGTTCTTTGTGTATCAAGAAAGAAATTCTAACCCAAAATGGGGGAAGTCCTGAGGGACAGTATGGCAGCATTTGTGATCTGCAGTGTATGAATTCATCCTAAAGACACCTGGCAAAAACTGTTTTTACATATATATTATCGCTTGGGGGGTAGGTTGTGTACTTAAGCTTATAATCTACCCTGGGCAATAGAGAATAATTCCGGTTAGGGAGACAACATGATTGCAAGTCAGGGCTTAAGGCCCTGGGTTCAAGATCTAGCTGTGCCATTTACTACTACTTCTTTTTTGTACCTCTTGACCACCTTTACCCTACCACCTGCTCTGGCAACCACAATATGTATCTGTGAGTTCAGGCTTTTTTTTAGATTCCACATATAAGTGAGATCATAACGTATTTGCCTTTCTGTCTGACTTATTTCACTTAGCATAATGCCCTCAGGTTCCATCCATGTTGTCACAAATATCAGAATTTCCTTCTTTTTTTGGCTGAATAATATTCCATTGTGTGTGTGTGTGTGTGTGTGTGTGTGTGTGTGTAGAATATATGAATAAAGAAAACATGGCATATATATATATATATATTCATCATTCGATGGACACTTGTTTTCATGTCTTGGCTATTGTAAGTAATGCTCTAGTGAACTTGGGTTTGCGGATATCTTTTTGAGTTAGTGCTTTCATTTCCTTTGAATAAATACCCAGAAATGGAATTGCTGGATCATAGAGTAGTTCTATTTTTAATTTTTTGAGGATCCTCCACACTGTTTTCCAGAGTGGCTGCCCCAGTTTGCATTCCCACCCACAGTGCACCTGGGTTCCCTTTTCTCCACATCTTCACCAACATTTTGCTGTGTGAGGTGATATTTTGTTTTCTTGAGACCCGTGGCAATATATTTGATTCTCTAAGCCTGTTTGTCTAGAAAAAGAAGGAAGCAATTTCACTTTGTATGTTGTTGAGGAGATGAACTAATGCAAGTAAAGGCTAGCATGGTCCTGGCACATAGCATCAGCACTCACTAAATGTTCACTCTTGAAATGGAAACCATACTAGAATCTCTGTCATTCTAGGACTTGATGTTATACTTGATTCTGCTTTTCTGCCATTTTGTTTCCAGATTAGAGCAGTTACTTCAAGCTCCCTGAAGAGTTAGAAGCATTGCTTTGATAGAGTATGTCACCGTGGCTCAAAGTTTCCTAGGTATGGCTATGGACCTAGCTGACACTTTTTTTCCCTGTCCCCTTTTCCTTCTATTTCTCATGCCTGATCCCCACACTTTACCAACTTTGGTCTGCTCCTGATATTTCTTCAGTTTGGATCTGGCCCCATCTGTTTACAAATCAAGCTAATTTAGGGCCATGGAGTTTGATTGCTGGCTTTTGTTTCCCTACTGCCTTCTATAAATAAGCCTAGCCTATTCACGTGAGCTTCTCAGATGAAGCTTGTGCGTCTTGATGGGTCTTTAAGATGCTGGGTAATATCCTAGATACCAAAATGTCTGTATGCCTGTGATATACCTCTGCCGGAGGCTTGAACGTGAAAAAATCAGGTTGCATTTGTCTGAGCTGTGGGTAGACAGCCCCACTTAATGCCTGACATCTCAGTTTCCTTATACTGTCCCAGTTCACGCCGTTGTCCTGAAGAAATTATTAACAGCATCCTCTTTTTCTCTCAAAAATGTCATGAGCTTTGGAAGATACATTGTAAGGTCATCCTACATTTTGGGATAGGTATGTATTTAAGCTTTGTTTCAAGTGGAAAAGATGGTGGGTTATCAGGCAAAAACTATTTTTTCAGTTACAATAATAAGAACTGTGATAAGGAACGTCAAATGGAAGTCATAATTTTCAAAAACAGTGCTTCAAAGAGTTTTCTTTCTGTGGTACAAACCGGAATGTGTTTATCATAGCAAGCAGTGTTTTGGAAAACTTGTGAGAGGCTTGCTACATAGTTTACATTTTAAGCGCTCAGCCCTTGTTTGGTGGGATAAGGGTAAGCAAGCTAAGAACGCTCACGGGAAGCGCATACACATCACACATTGTTTTATGCTTTTGAAACCTCCTCCTCTTTTTCTCACCTCACTTCGGTTACTGGGTAGAACGCATCTTTCACCAAGAGGTGTGAACGAGAAGTCTAATGATACTCAGAACTGGAAGGAGCTGGCAGTTCGCTCATCCTAAAATCGTGCAGCCATGTTAGGGTACAACAGAGAGAGATGCAGGGAGCTGGGAGGGAAAACTCCCAGCTTTGTTACCATCAGCTGTCTCTGCCCGAGCAGAAGAGACGTGAGCTGGTGTAAGTGCCACAGACTATCAGGCCGCGGCAGTGACGCGGCGCCCCGGTGGGGAGCAGGAGCCGGACGCGCGTGTGGCTGACAAAGGCTGTCCTGGAGCGGAGAGCCGTCTGCTCGCTCGGCGGCTGCGGCTGCGGTGCACACTCACGGCTCCCAGGACCGGCCGTTTGGCAGGTTCACACATTCTCACCCTGGAGAGGAATCTGTGTTCTTGTCACTCCTCACGCTGCACGCCACGCGTTCATCAGCTCCTTCGCTTCTCCATTCTGCGAAGAGCACAGGGCTGTGAGAGAGAACGCTGCCGCCCGGCGCGCAGCTGGGGGGGTACGGCACAGCCCCGAGGGGCCGAGGGGGCCAGGAAGCAGGCGGCGGCTTAATGTCGCCTTTGGCATTGGCCAGCTGTAGGTAAACCAGGCTTTATCGGAAGGGACAAAGAAGAAGCTGGATCTCACTCTTTGACGAAAGCACCATCAGGCCTCAACATTAAATAAAAAAAGTCTCTCGGACATGACAGGCTCTAATTTACACGTGGTTACTCTGGACGATGGCGTGATTTATATTCAGCTCCAGGTTGTCTGTCTTTGACATTCTACCCACTCACATATTTGCACATTCAGAAGCTGTACAAGCACAAAAATATTAAAATGAAATCCACTATACGTCACAGTAGAATGACATGTAATTTATTTCATAGAACTGACACTTAGGCAGTACTCAGACTTCATTTAAATAAGCAAGTGATTACACAAATGTCTAATAATACTAAAATTGATAGAAGGTATAAAATACCATGGGTATGAAATGCCATGGTAAATACTATTCAACAGACTACAATCATAATTCCAAACTAAATCATGGTTTAAAATGATTTTTAGCAGTTTTGGAATGATTTGATGTTTTTTCCCTTTCAAGCAATTTACTTTTTTCACTGATACAAGACAAGGTCATTATTTTCAAGAAATATTACAGAAGGACACAGCTTAGGTCCCTCTCTTGCAACACATTTTCTTGCAAATTGTTTTTTGATATAACCTCTTGACATTGAAAACAAACCAGTCAGCACTCAGTTCCCCAAGCAAAGATACTTGCATCAGAACAGTGCCAGGGTGTAACTCTGAGTTCAGCAAGAGGCAGGCAGTGAAAAACCTTTTGCAGCTTTTGAAGTATGCATACTTCTTTTCTGAGGCTCCAAGCATCATAAACATATTTAGGCATCCAAGCCAGTAAAATTATGGGAATAAAATAATTTTGTATCCATATGACTATGACACAGTTGCAGCTGGGGGAAGTTACAATATAATTCTGCGGTTATTCAAACAAAAACAGCACCTACCTAAATCTGCTTCTTGTAAGCCTCGTTACATTTTCACGAAGCGCGGCTGTGTTTGCAGGAATGGTTTGGCTTATCATGTGTCTGTCTGTCTGTATTATTTGAAAGTCATATACTTTAGTGTAGTGAGATCCAAGCGTGAACCTGGCCTGAAGAGCTAGCAGCAGTAGTCATGAAACATATCAATAAATTAAAAGGCTTTCACAGAACAAGATTCAGCTAAATCTCTTACATACAAAATACAGCTAGAGAAATACAGTTCTTCAATGCTGAATTACGAGGGGGAGGAAAACAATCTAAAAAAATAGAAAACTCTCTCCATACCTGGGTGTCAAGGCAAATGTAACACTGCATAATGCCACAATATGAACAGTCACTGGATGACAGATACTCCAGGAATAGTGGTATCTGGGGATCTGGTAATTATGACCAAGAGATGAAAATACTGTACCAAAAGGCATGCATACAATCACTGTGCATTCAGTGTGAGCTGGGACCTAAGCAGGGATCTAACATGACAATGAGGCAGTGTTCTAGGGTATCCGTTAAAACCAGCGTGGGTGACTACATGTTGATTAAACCTTCTGAGGCAGCAAAGTGTGGGCACAACGCCATGTCTGGGTTCTGCAGCTGTCTTATGATCCTCTTGCGGAATTTCTCCCGCACACGATTGAATTCCATTATGTCCATGGGGTCCTCTTCAATCCAAAACTTATGAAACTCATGCATCAAATAGCCTGTTAGAGATAAGACAGTGATAAGAATGCAGGAGAAAAAAAAAGTCCTTAATTTCATTCAAAATCACTGAATGCTGAAAGAGATGTCAGACCAAATGACAGCAACCACGGAGCTCAAAGAAGAGATCAAAATGCAGCAAATATTACTGTTAAAGATTATTCTTTAAAACTAGTGCAGTAGAAGCTACCAATCTGCAAGATTTTTGCAATTGGTTCTGGAATTATTCTCACTCTTCCCAAGGAGGAAGACAAATCAGTTCTGCCATCTCTTGAATATGAATCACATCTGGAACATCATCCGAAAGGCCTACAGTGACTACTTCATCCTTCCCCTCCTGATTAAATTAAAATAACGGTCTGATTTTTCAAAATCAGTCAGCTTTTTTTCTCTTGATATTTGATTTAAGTTTTAAATTACTCTGACAAATCAAACAAATGGCTTCTGACAGTCTATTATGAGACAATAAAAATTGTAAATCAACTCTGAACAACACATACTGGTCATTAAACTACATGAAATTGTTAATAAGACCTTCTTGCTCTGAAGCATAATGTCATATTCAAATACTTCTCTGTCTCAAAAGTGTTATCTATGAATGATCTAGATTGGAAACATTTTTGGAATAAATGTTAAGTATTTGAATCTATTCACTGTGTTCTGTCTCCCCACTGTGCACCCTCCCCCCACCACATTCAGAACTGAAATGTGAATAGTTTTTTAAAAAGACAATAATAGATATTTGTATGTAGTAAACCTATTACAAACTCAAGTGTCTCATATATTAGAAGCAAAGCATTTAAGGAAATAATTCTAGTTTAAAAAATTGAACATTACAGAAGCTTTTCTTGGTTTTAGCATTAGAAGGAGCAGAATATAGGAGCAAGGATTCTGAAGCTAGAAACCTGGTTTGAATCCTAGCTCTTCCACCTCCACAGGAAGGAGTGAGCAGCAGAAATGATAAGGGGCATGGGGAGAGAATTTGAGAACAAACATTCTCAATGCTAATAGTAAAAAAAAAAAATAATAATACCGTTTGTTTTTCTAGTAACTAGCTACTTATGAGAAAACCTTTAACATAGGTCTGTAAATATATATTTTAAAATATTTACCATATCTCACTGTAATACAAAATTAGAAGTGACCTTCCTTCCCACCCCCAACACACTTCCAGATACTGGTCCACTTCCACAAACACACCTGGTTTTCTCATTCATTACACTGTTAAATATGCTTATACATTTTTAAGTATATGGTCTCTCTCAACTACAGGAAGAAAGGTCGTAAGGAGAGAGAAAACATTTTACTTTTTGGGGGGTTTGACCACTGCATTTTTTTAGGATTGGATTATCTTTGGGCCCTCCACACATATTAACTGATGTGTCTGTTTTTAATATCTCTTGATGGGGACACACACCAGCCCTTACTCACATGCCTCTAGGCCACACCCCAGGGCCCACTGCCACTGTTATGGGCACCTGATAACGTCAGGGAAGCCCCAGATCACAGGTATCAGCGATCCCAGGAGCTGTCCAGTCCCTCTGTGCTCTCTCTGGTGCTGGGAGTCCCAGAGGCAGCATCCAGCCTTGAGCTCTTCTGGTGACAACACTAACATTAGCCTGTCCCATGGATGAAGAACCTGATTCTTAAAGGATTTTTCCTCACACTGGGCCAAAATCTGTTACCCTGTATTTCTTGGAACAAATTCAGTCCTTCTCCAGCTCAGGTAATTGAAGTGTCTCTTATGCCCTGAGCTTCTCCCTTTTCCAGGTTAAGCATCCCTGTTTCTCCTCACCATTTCTCACATGCCATGACTGGGAGTCTGTTTACTATTCTGCTGGGTTTACTGCACACCAAGAGGAAGTGGTTCCCTCTAATCTCAGTACCTTATTCAACCAAAAGAATTCAATCATCTGTCTATTTCAGTGACTGGGCAAACTCCTAAAGTATCCCACGAATGCTATGGGGTACTATTTTAAAAATGCAGACACCCCATACCAGATTCAGCTGCAGTGCAGTAAGATGAATCTCAGGTCACTAAAATTTGAGATCCATTGCTCTAAAAGATGCCCTCTTTTTAAGTTCCCTTGGCTTTTTCCTAAATATTATATTTTTATGGTTTTAAGTGAAATCTATGACTATTTAAAATTTCTTCTTCCTGTGTTATATAAAATACATAGTTTTCCTGACTTGGCCTCTCAGCTCAAATAAACACATCTAAGCTGTTTTGTATATAGAGTCAGGCTTCTAATACTATGAATTAAAATCATACATGATGAGTTAAAAGAATCTCATTATCTCATGAGTGATAAGGTCTTTACCCTTATTGACAATAATGAACAGGCACTGTGAAAATTATCTTTTAACGAAGAATTCACTTTTCCATCATATGTATAAAAATATTCACTCTTCTACAGTGTGCGTGTATACTGGCAACTCACTCTAATGGTGATCTAGTGTGGTACAGAGTGTTAAAAGAATACAGATCCATTTGGTTTCCTCATTTTTCTACCTTACATGCAATTACAGAAAAACATTTTGAAAGGTTTAAAAAGTAGGCAAGAAAAAAAAAAGGCAAGGATAAGACTAGAGGTGGGGTGGCTAGCAATCTGACACTTCTCAGGATCCTTCCTCTTAAGGGTACAAAAGTGAAGCTGTAAAGCTTGCAGATTCTCTCTATCCTACCAGGAAAATACAGATTGTATAACATGATTTTAATCAAAATGCAGAAATGGTGGCTTGGCTTCCAGGGTACATTTATAATTATAATACTCCACTCATTTTTATAACATTACAGAGTGTTCATTTATCCACTTGGTCAATTGATCAGTTGGCTCATCTGCCAGTTAACAAATATGCAGCAGATACAAGAAAAAGGTAGAGTTCCTGTGCTCCCCAATTCTCTTGTCTCATGGGGAGAGACACCCAGGTAGACAATTTCAGCCAAGCCAATGATTTAGTAGCTAAGGAAGCTAACAAAATGGCATGGAAAGTAGAGGGAGGAAACAGAGGCCAGGCTATTGCTTATAGCCTCTTAATTCTTTGTGGAGTGGGTAGTGCAGATATATCTTCATTTAACAGATGAGAACATGGGGCTTAGAAAAGATATTTGAATAGTGTACAGTTACACCATATAGCTGGAAGCTGGAAGCTGGAAGCGAGAACTCGAAATCAGCTGACTTTTCACCACTGTACCTGCTGCCTTTCCTAGTGTATTCTCTTTCCCTGGTTCTTATTCTTACTGAATAGTCCCTTCTTCTGAAGGTCAAAGGAAAGATCATTCTTTTTCCTCTTCTGATCATTACACTTTCCTTGTGCTCACTACACCTTGCCTTACTTCATTTCAGGGGAACTGTATGTTCAGTGGGGCTTTAGATTGAATGCAATTTTTGTAGCATACTGCCTTGGCAGTGCAGTATTCACTGAGTAATACTATAAAGTCAAAATGATAGAGCTATTATTTTCTCACATTTTTTCACCTAGATGAAATACCTGTTTAGAATACTAATTTGGCTTTCCAACCCAAGCCTGCAGTGTATTTGTTGTTGCTGCAATATATCTTGGTTTTGCTTCACTGCATTCAGTTAGTAGACAGCAGAGACATAAGCAAGGACACAGGTAATTGCAAGAATATTATAGAGGAAACATGCAGAACTGATCATGTCTGATGGAGGAACAGTGAATTTAGGGCATGGTTTGCTTCCTCTGGAGAGGCATGAGTCCCTCTGCTTACACCCCAATTATTGGGGGATTGCTGCTCTTTCTAAAACCTGGTGAGGGCCTTGGGAAATAAGTAACCCTATTGCATGCTACTCACCTGGGCTAGGGTTGTCTTGAAAACCTATCCATTCAGGCCAAGGCTAAATTTTCCATGAGGAACTAGACTTCCTTTCTTCCACAAAAGACATTATCCCAATATTTTAGCTTCCCATCCATCCATCCATCCATCCATCCATCCATCCATCCATCCATCCAATCATCCAACAAATATTTACTGAGTACCTACTCTATCAGGCTCTATGCTGAGGTAATGAATACAAACAACAAAATGCCTGTCTTTAAATGTCAATTCCTATGATTCTAATTTTGGTTTTCTCCTGCCAGAGCTCCCACACTGTGTGGCTCTGATTTTCTCCTCAATGCTCATGAATCCCAAATCTGCCCTTGGAATTCCTCAGAGCTCCAGGGCCTTACATTGGAATGTCTACTATTTAGCTACATGTGGATTTCCCAAAAGGAACTCACCCCCAGTATGCCTGAAACTAAAACTCATTCTATTTTACCTCAAAACTGCTTCCCTGGCTCCCCTAAAAAGCATCGTAAATATAGAGTAGGGTATGTACAAGGGGTAGGGAAGCAAAGCAAGGGGCCTTATTTATCTACTGTTGATGTTCTTTTTTTTTTATTATGTTATGTTAATGACCATACATTACATCATTAGTTTTTGATGTAGTGTTCCATGATTCATTGTTTGCGTATAACACCCAGTGCTCCATGCAGAACGTGCCCTCTTTAATATCCATCACCAGGCTAACCCATCCCCCCACCCCCTCCCCTCTAGAACCCTCAGTTTGTTTCTCAGACTCCATCGTCTCTCATGGTTCCTCCCCCCCTCCAATTTCTCCCCCTTCATTTTTCCCTTCCTGCTATCTTCTTCTTCTTCTTCTTTTTAACATATAATGTATTATTTGTTTCAGAGGTACAGATCTGTGATTCAACAGTCTTGCACAATTCACAGCGCTCACCATAGCACATACCCTCCCCAATGTCTATCACCCAGCCACCCCATCCCTCCCACCCCCCACCACTCCAGCAACCCTCAGTTTGTTTCCTGAGATTAAGAATTCCTCATATCAGTGAGGTCATATGATACATGTCTTTCTCTGATTGACTTATTTCACTCAGCGTAATACCCTCCAGTTCCATCTACATCGTTGCAAATGGCAAGATCTCATTGCTGTTGATGGCTGCATAATATTCCATTGTGTATATATACCACTTCTTCTTTATCCATTCCTCTGTTGATGGACATCTCAGCTCTTTCCACAGTTTGGCTATTGTGGACATTGCTGCTATAAACATCGGGGTGCACAACCGTTGATGTTCTTTCAAATGGTTTGCAAAGCTCTTCAAGATAAGTGCCCCTCACCCCCCATCCCTGCTCTTATTGTCAGCTCTGTCACCTGCCTCCTCAAACCAATGCTCTGCTTCTTGAGTCCACCGTGTTCTTTGTCTTGTGGCCTTTGCCTGTGCCACCCCCTGTGGCTGGACCACTCAGCCACCATTTCTTGATTTCCTGCCACTCATCCCTCAGGTCTCATGGAAAGTGGCATTTGCTTTGGGAAGTTTTCCTCGACTCCCAGACTGAGTGAGCTGTGCCAGTCAGAAGACTTTTCAATTTTTAAAAACAGTACATTTACTTTCCAATTACAAAATTCTTCCACTATGTTTTAATTATTTTTTTAGATGCACAGAACCTGATCTGTAGTAAAACTTCAATATCTGTCAGAAGTGGTCAAAGTGAATATAATCATCTAGTTGTCAAAGTAGGAGCTATAATCACATATGTAACGGACTTTAATTTTCCATTTTTAACAAGTTATAAGGTATATGTATTCTTAAATTTGCTCTTCATTTTTATCTTAAGTTATACATGCACATAGTTTAGAGTCTCATAGTTTAACAAGTCTTGTTACAAAAAAACACAAAACCAGCAGCACCTCCTGCCTTAATTATTGCTTCCTTAAAGGAACATATCAATTCTTGTGCTGATTCTTTTGATTATCGACCTCCATAGCTCTATATAATATGATTGCCATTGCTTGATTTTTTGGACTTCCTTTATAAGAAGATGAAGATTTAGCTCCCTTTCACCCATTCCAACCACATTATCACATATTTTCTAACAATTTTCTTTGTGCCGTATTACCAACTGCCCTCTCTGTTTATTTGCTTAGTTTTCACCCACTGGACTCTAAGCTATTCCAGCATCTTTGCAGTGTATTCAAACACAGTAGATATTCCATCAGTTTCATATTCTTCAAAGAGTCTCTACCAGAGCCTTCCAACCTGCTAAAATCTAGATTTATTATTCTCATCCTGCTGCACAGATAGTACCTTGGGCTTTCCCTTCACCTTCATCCTTGAAGATTCTCTTCACTTTGTTCCTGTGATAGATTTCCTGCTCTCTGGACCCCACTTATTCCTTTCAGGATTACTCTCTTTATGAAAACATACCCTTCAGGATCTTCCTAATAATGGTACAAGGAGGTAAAATGTTTAAGACCTTGCATTTAAAAAATATCTTTATTGTTCTCTCACACTTATTATTATTTTTTTAAATAATTTTTTATTGTTATGTTAATCACCATACATTACATCATTAGTTTTTGATGTAGTGTTCCATGATTCATTGTTTGTGCATAACACCCAGTGCTCCACGCAGAACGTGCCCTCTTTAATACCCATCACCAGGCTAACCCATCCCCCCACCGCCCTCCCCTCTAGAACCCTCAGTTTGTTTTTCAGAGTCCATCGTCTCTAATGGTTTGTCTCAGTTCTCTCACACTTAATTGGGAAGTTAGCCTGGGTATAGAAATCTAAATTGAAATCATATGCCCTTAGATTTTAAAAAATATTCTCTTAAATTTTTGAATACATTATTCCACTGTCTTCTAGAATACAGTGTTGCTGTCGAGAATTCCAGTGTCATCTTGATTCCCAATTCTTCATGTGGCAGCTTTGGAAACTTTTAGAATCATCTCTTTCTGATGTCATAAAATTTCATAGTGATATAGACCTTGGTGTGAATCTATGTTAATCTATTATGCTGGTGCTTACTAGTTTAAATATGAAAACTCATCCTTTAGTTCTGGAAATTTTTCTTGATTTACTTCTTTGATTCCTTCCCTTTAGTGTCATTGTTCTTTTTCTAGAAATTCCATTTTCATATATGACTTCTAAAATGGTCCTTTAATATCTTGACTTTTATTTTCTATTTTTCATCTGTACTTTTTGTTCTACTTTATGGGAGTGTTTTCAGCTTTATCTTCTAATCCTTTTCGGTGTTTCATTTTTGCTATTTGATTTTTAATTTCTAAGAGCACTCTTTTGTCTTCTGAATGTTCTTTCTGTAGCACCTTGTTCTTGTTTTATAATTACAATTGTCTTAATTCCTTGGGGATACTAATGATACATAGTTTTAAAGTTTTTCTCTCCCTGCATAGTTTCTATTTCCTTCTAGTGGCTTTATTTCTGCTTGTTTGGACTCTGTTTCATGCTTGAGGCTTTCATTACTGTTCTTGTTATCTAGTACTGCTTATGAAATTATTCCAAAATCCAGTGGCTTAAAACAACCATTTTAATACACTCATGAATTCAGTGGATTAGGAATTCAGAAAGGGCATAGGAGGGATCGTTCCACAATGTCTGGAGTCTCAACTGGAGTCCCCACTCAATGTCTGAAGACCTGAAGGGTGTGGTGACTTGATAGCTGGTGGCATGAATCACTTGGAGGTATCTTCATTCACATGTTTGTGGGGACACTAGCTATCAGCTGGGACCTCATCTGGAGCTGTCAGTGAGATCACCTACATATGGCTACGCTATATATCCTAGACTTCCTCACAGCATGTAGAGATCAGATCCGTTACATGGGGCTCATGCCTTCAAAAGCAGCTCGGTCCCTGAGAACCAGGCAAAAATCTCTTCTAGTATAGTTTTCGAAGTCACATAGTGTCAATTCTGCTATATTCTACTGGCCAACCAACTGGTCAGCCCAGATTCAAGGGGTAAGAGGAACAAATAAACCCTAGCTCTTAATGGAAGGAGTGTCAAAGAATTTGACATGTTTTTAACACTAAGACATCTGATAATCCTTGGCTGTCTTAATATTTTTTCTAAATAGAAAGCCAGGGACTAAAAGCTTATTGGAAGCTCTGGGCATTAAGTAGGGCTTTTTGAGAGTGAGCATGACTGTAGAGTGCTATGGCTGGGTTGTTTCACTGGGGAAGCCCAGAGGTCAGCATCTTCAGCAGTTTTCTGTCGGGCTGCTTTGATAACCCAGAGAAGACCCTGTCAATCTCGTGACTGGCTGCCGAGGTTAGAGGAATGGAAGGAGAGGAAGGAGAAGCTGCCTGCATGACTCAGTCCCCATCATCACTTTTAGTGTGGTTTGCCAGCAGCTGTACCTGATTCTCCTCAGACCAGAGACACTTTATTTTTAACTCTCTAGAGAATAATCCACCAGCCTCTCCTGGGGGGCAGGGAAGGACAGAAGCTGTGTCCTAGGGAAGGGGATTTGGGCCTCTAAGAGTTTCTTAACATATTTTCAAGCAGTCTTGCTGTTTCTGATCCTGCCTTCACCCCTATTTCCAGAGACACCTAATGCTGCCAATTCCTGAACCTTCTGGGAGGTCCCATGGAATAAATCAGGTTGCTTCTTACTTTTCCACACTACCTATTTGGGATTTGCTTCCTCAGGACTACTAAATCAGTTATTACGTCACCTGTTTTTCAGCTTCCAAAATGAGGTTTTTCCTGCCTCGTTCCTGATTTTTCCTGTCCTTGTGGGTTTATGCTTTCTTGGAAAAATCCTTTTATGTTAACTTTAGTGAAGTTTCAAAAGGAGCATAATGCATGCCTTAATTATGCCACCTCTAACCAGAAGTCCTGATTAAGCAGACACTAAAAAAGACAAAATCCTAGATAACATAATCACTATTAACTTAGGAGTTTAAATAAAAGAAATTGCTGTTAACTCTGTCACATTGTAAAAATGAAGTGGGGAACAGTATTCCCCAGAGTGGATTTGGGATGAACAGCTGTGTCTTAACCATAGTTAGAGTGGCAGACCTGCTCAGCAAATTAACAGAAGAGCTGAAAAAGTTTAAAAAGAGAAGAAAAACTTTGAAATTTTCTTAGAAAATTTCTAAGAAAGCCTGGGTACAAGGCCCTCAGAGCAGTAAGCATGGTTTAAATGGTTTAAATGACATTTCTCCTTTAAATTGCCTGGATTGCTTAGTGACTTGGAACATCTTTCCATGTTCCTCCAAACCAGTTTGTGTCTGGCCCACAAGGGTCACAATGACATTCAGATTTTAGGATTCTATCTCTAAGAATAGAAAATACTGTCCCAGGACTCTGTCAAATAGTCTTGGTTTTTATCTTCTGAAACCTCAGTATAACTGCAAACCCAAAGGATGCCCCTCATTAGTACTTCCTTCTGTAGCAGTACTAGTGGTGGCAGGGAGATAATGCCATTGAACTCCACTGCCATCAGCACCACCCACTAAATTGACATCTCTTTCTAATGTTCACTGAACACTAACTAGGGAGCAAGCTACTTAGAACTTTCTATCCATGATGTCACTTTATCTTCATAGCAACTCTATGATGAAAGCACTCATCTTATATCTGACATAACCAAGGCTTAGAGAGGTTGGTAAACATAGATCTGGGAATCAACTCGGGCTGTCTTCCGAACCTGCACTCTCAAGTGCTATACCATGCTGCGTCAGAGGGAGATACCCAGACCAGAAGTTGATACAGTGGATATTATGCAAGAGCTGGGAAAGAGAAAAATCCACAATGCCTGAAAATATTACTCGAGGTTTCTGAATGAGAAAACAACAACAAAATCAAAACCAAAGGGAAGTTCAAAGATCCCAAAGCAGCCAAATTGCAAAGATCTCTCAGCTTTGCCCCTTGCATAGAATGTTCCATAGTAACTGTATTGATAATTCAGCAACAGGACACTTACAGAATGTTTGCTGGAAATGAGACAGTGTTGGAGCTTCTGGGGCGATGTTGTAGAAGTGGGTTTTTAGAGCTCCGCTCACCAGTAGATTATATGCCAGATCAGTTATATTGATGCCCACAATTGCAAATGAGTACCTGCAAAGTGCAAACCACAAAGCCAACTGCATGTCACATAAGCATTTAAAAATAACCTAATTTTTAAATTGCTGCTAAATTATCAGAGTGGCAGGTTGCCGTTCCCTTTCTACCCAATCTTAACCCTGAATGTTGTAACTTACTAGAAAATGCCAGTAATGTAACCAAGGGAATTAAGAGTCCATGTACTTTGATTTGGTAATTCCATTCCCAAGTATATGAGAGAAAAAAAATCAGAAACAAAGAGCTTTATACTCAAGGATACTCATTATAGCAGTATTTATAATGGCAAAGACATGGGAACTATTCAGGTGTTCTAAAAAAAGATGACTGGTGAAGTAAATTATGGCAATCTCATATTACAGCCAACAAATACTGTATTCCTAAAGACTATTTAAGTTAGAAACATTACGTATGAAACAAGCTACGTTTTATTACACGCTCACACACGTGCACAAGAAGAGGGTAAGAATGAAGTGCCACCAATACCACCGTGTGCTATGTCAGAGGGTGGTACAGGAGTGACTTGTTTGCTTCCTTTCCTGTATTTTGTATATTTTCCATAACAAGTCATATATTACTTTTAAAATGAGGCAAAATTCAAGTATCTTGACACTCACGGTATATTTCCTAGTTCCTTTTCTACATGGCTACCAAAAATTAAATGGAATTGAGGTCTTAAGTCTGTGTGTAATATAAATCCAGCACATAAAGAAAAGGAGTTCTCCATTCAGAAATATTTTTGAATGAAATGGGGCATTAAAAAAACTAATAAATTTATAATCTAATAGCCTGATACTTGATAAAAATCCTTAAAAAAAACCCTACCAGATACACTTTTATTTATTTATTTATATTATTATTTTTTAAAGATTTTATTTATTTATTTGACAGAGAGAGACACAGCGAGAGAGGGAACACAAGCAGGGGGAGTGGGAGAGGGAGCAGCAGGCTTCCCACGGAGCAGGGAGACTGATGCGGGACTCGATCCCAAGACCCTGGGATCATGACCTGAGCTGAAGGCAGACGCTTAACAATTGAGCCACCCAGGCGCCCCTACACTTATTATTTTTTTTTTTAAATAGGCTCCACACCCAGCATGGAGCACAGTGCAGGGCCTGAACTCATAACCCTGAGATCCAGACCAGAGCTGAGATCAAGAGTCGGATGCCTAACCAACGGAGCCACCCTACCCTACCAAATATAATTCTAAATGATGATTTCTGAAAATCATTTCCATATAGTTATAACTTTGTAAAGATTGTCAGTTGGTCGAAGGCAAAGTAGTACCATAGAATCACCCAAATAAATCCAAAAACATATAAACAGGTTCTTTTAAAAGTTCAACTGGATTATATATTTCCATCAGGACATTTTTCATCTTTGTCATCTTTTACAGTGTTCTTAGGACATTTTTTTTTCCTGGTTCTGGTTCTGATTGACAGCCTTTATATATGAAATCCCACACTCACCCAATTGCTTTATCCATCCTTTTCTTCTCCCATTCTGCTTTGCTGAATTTGCTGAACGAATGAATAAAGAAATAAAATTTAATCTCTAATTGGTACTTTTCTCTTTTAATGTTTATATTAAAACTATTGACTAGATGCAGAGATGTCTGTAACTCAGTTCTCAAACACTAATCAATTTAAATTTTGTCAATTAAAAATCCACAGTAAAATTGATGTGGAGCTCAGGAATGGGATTATTTAAAGCCCTGCCTTTCATTCATGTTAAAATATGCCACCTCTTTTTAAAGTGTAACTGCCTACAAACCAGCCAACTAACCAGCCAAAAAGGCATTAGATTTTTACTTAGAAGACTCATATCTGAACTAAACTGAGTTAGGGATGAAATTTAAGAAACTTTAAATAAACAGATTTATAAGCATATATTTTCTCTTAACAAAGCTTTAAAAATACATAGTGTCTCAGTATTTGTCAAGTGAAGTCTTTTTCTGCATTGGAAATAAAAGAAAAGGCCAAATGACCTCCACTCATTTAATCACTTACATGATATCCTGGACCAAATAGAGTGAATCCCTTTTTTCAGGAAACACACAACAACAGTAACAACAACAAACTTGTTGGAAAATTCTCTTAAACTTGAATGTACTTATGTCCTTCAGGCTACTCTAGGACTTAACAGATGGAGGTTTACAAGAGCAATGCAGCAATGTGTTTAATGCTTGCTGTTGGGTAGACAGGAGAGAGTCTCCTTAGCATACATTGCTGCTCAACACCTGAAGTATTCAGGGCCTGACAGAACCCACGCTGCTAACACAAGTGGTCAATATATACTTACTTTAGACATTGGTGAAGGACAGTAGCATTTTCAAAACATTCTCATTTGTGTTTACTAACATTTACCATCAATATGAAGTGATTAATATTTGAAGTTCAAATACTACTCAATTTTATGGTGGCTTGAGGAACAAAGCATGGTGGCTTTATAAGCCTACACACACACACACACACACACACACAGTAGTCTCTTCTTAAATAAGAGTATTCACGCATAAACTATCAAATATATCCTCTCTGATGGTTGACACAAGAAATAAAACTAAAAAGCCTAGCTTTGAGAATGGCTCACAGCTAAAATTTATCATCCTATAATGATTAATCAAAAAAATATTCACTTCCCAATGACCATGGAGGATTCATGTGTTTTTCTGATGTTCTTCCAGGAATACGTCATGAGTATAGTATGGACTATAGACATGGACTCCCCAGACAATTTTAATTGGAGGAAGTTCAGAGTCTCTACATTACAGAAATATGCAATTCAGAAAATGCAGTCAAAATTAAATTAAAATAGCTTGATTTTAACCAGGTTTATATATATTTATTATATATATTTATATATATAAAATCAAGAAAGAGCTAAATGATTTTACTGTTTTTCTCAAATAAAAAGGTAAAAAAAATGAAAATGTAATCTTATAAATAAAAGATTATAAATACAAATTTAGAAAGTATAGTGTAATTTAATGAACCTTAGCCAAATGAAGCTTGAATAATAGTAAGGTGGCGGGAGCAAAGTTAACCTGTTTCTGAATTTTGAGAATGGTATGATAAAATTTTGGGTTGATTTTTTAAATATGAACACTAACAAGGAACTTGGCATGCTGAGGAGAAAAAAGTGATACAAAAGCATGACTGCAAAATGGCAGAACTCCTTATATACAGTAACTACTATTTTTAATAATGAAATTAGAAATATATAGTAGAAGAGAAAAATTGCTCTATGCAACAAAACTTCCAAATAAAATGTCCCTCTCTGGAGAGTAGGTGAGGTCAGAGCATGTGCGGTGACGTGTTCAGCCATTAGGTGAAGTGCTCAACATGGTTCTCTGATCAGGTACAGCCGTAGAGGGGCTCTTTGGTATTTTGTTAGATTGGTCTAATCTGGTTTTCCTTCACTAACACAACCTAAATATAATGAAGTATAATAGATAAAAAGTTGGGAAATGTTTTTTGAAAAATTTTCATGAATTTATATTTCTGTAAAAATTCTTACCCATACTGATTCTAAAATGAAATAAAAGCAACAAAACACAAAGGCAAACAGGAAATACCTTATTTCCTCTTTAGTGATATCCCTTCATGTAATCAGTTAAAGAAAAAAAAATTAGGAAGTTAAATGAAAATGCAAAATATTTAGAATCTAGATTTTTATCAAGGAAAATAAAAAAGCCTAAGCATTCTGGGTTTTCTCAGTTGGCCCCTGACTTCATAGCTCCCATTCTCCCCTCTGTCCCCCCAGCGTGCTCCTCTGTCTCTGAAATCTTTCTTTCAGACTCTGCCTTTCTCCTTCCATGCCCACCTCCCTAATCCTCTGGACACCAGCGATGTCATCAGTCCCTTTAAATACTCATCTCACTTGAACGGTGCCACTTTACACCCTGAATCCTGTCATAAGTACCTGAAGTTTTAACCCTCCTCTTCAGTATCTGTCCAAAGTGCTCATCTGAAAGAGCTTTAAGCCTCACTTCTGGCGGGTTGACGCTCCTGAGAATCTCTCACGTATCTGTGGAGGAGAAGTTCCTCTGACCTAAGCCATCTTTTATTTTCAGTAATTACCTGCATTTTGGATGAAGAGAGTCAGAGAGGACCTGCTGAGCTGCTGCAGCGTCCCTTTCTGCAAAATACCTGCAGTTGGGGGAAAAGAAAACCACAGCTCCATACCTGTGGGATGCATTCATTTTAATCCAGTTTCAGGCCATTTTGCATTCAGGGGTAGACACCAGCAGAAGACTCCCACTTGTTTCAGCTCTTCCAGAGAACAGACAGCTTTTCATGATAGGATTTTCCAAATATAATGACAGTGTAATAGGGTAGTTGTAAAACCCACACAGATTTAGGAATGTATCGAGTGGGTTTGAAATTTTATCTTTTTATTTTTAAAGATTTTTATTTATTTATTTGACAGAAAGAGAGAGAGCGAGCGAGTACAAGCAGGGGGAGCAGCAGAGGGAGAGGGAGACTCCCCGCTGAGCAGGGAGCCCCATGTGGGGCTCGATCCCAGGACTCCGGGATCATGACCCGAGCCGAAGGCAGACGCTTAACCGACTGAGCCACCCAGGTGCCACAGGTTTGAGATTTTATTTTTAAAAAAGTTTTTTTTTTTTTTAAGATTTATTTTATTTGAGAGAGAGAGAATGAGAGAGAGAAGAGCACATGAGAGGGGGGAGGGGCAGAGGGAGAAGCAGACTCCCCGCCGAGCGGGGAGCCCGATGCGGGACTCGATCCCGGGACTCCAGGATCATGACCTGAGCCAAAGGCAGCCGCTGAACCGACTGAGCCACCCAGGCGCCCCGGTTTGAGATTTTAATTATGAACTTTGCCATTCCCCAGGGAGCTAAGGATATTTGTAGTTAGAAGGGTTATAGATGAGGGGGCAGGATGAGGCGCCTCAGAAGGCAGAAGCAGCCTGCATGAAGGGACATGCCGAGGGGCTGTGACAGTCAGGGGACAGAGAGAGGAAGAGAGTAGAGGAGGTGGGAGGTGATGCACTTCAAGTGCGTTTTTCTTGGAGAGTATTCACGGGTATTTGAATTCTGGATAAATGGAAAATACGGTGCTAAAGCAAAATTCTACCCTAGGGAAAAAGGGCAATGAAATTTCTTAAAAAATACAGTTACATACCTTATAAAATACATCACAAAAAGTATTTCATAAAGACAGTAACAAAATAAAACATTAGCATATGTTATTTAATTTGACGTGTATATATTTCCCACATAAATCTGAAGCATGAAACAAGCTCTTGAACTTTCTCTCAGAAAATTTCAAACCACAGTCAGCAGTTTTAATATACATGTCCATGATTATTAATGAAACTGAGTCTCTCTTCATACTTTTGTTGGCCATCTAGAAAACCTGGATGACTTTTGTGTCTTATCTGTTCATATTTTTTGGTCCAGCATATCTAAAAATGTCTTCAAACAAATAAGACAAATAACCTTATAGAGAATAATATACTGGATAGGGATCCTTTATCATTTATGTGAGTGTCAGACTTGGCTTGTCTTTTCACTTTATTTATGGTGGCTTATCTTACAGAAATTTTTAATGTGTGAAATGTATTGATTTTTGTTTTATAACTTGTGCTTTTTTTTCTTTGTGTCTTTAAGGGATCCCTCCCTATATATCTGAAAGATTTTCTCCTAAAAGTTGTAAAGACTTGTTTTTGACATTCCATTTGTGAAACTGAGATTGAGACGGAGGTAGAGATTTTTTTTTCTCAGCTCTACTTATTCAAAAGCTCATCCTTTATCCATTTATTTGTCACAATATCTTTGTCCTCAAAATTTACTTTTCATTCATTCATGTTATGTAATGTGGTATTTACAACATTTCATAAAAGAATAGGTGATTATTAAGTGTCCCAAATTTAAAATAAAGGCAAACATCTAGAGGAAAAATGGGGTGCATCAAAAATGACTAAGGCTTAGTTTCTTTTATTTTTATTTTTTTGAAGATTTTATTTATTTATTTGTCAGAGAGAGAGACAGAGCACAAGCAGGGGGAGCAGCAGGCCAAGGGAGAAGCAGGCTCCCTGCTGAGCAAGGAGCCCGAGCGGGGCTCGATCCCAGGGCCCCGATCATGACCTGAGCTGAAGGCAGACGCGTAACTGACTTGGCCACCCAGGCATCCCAGGCTTTGTTTCTTTTTAAAATACATAGCTATCCTAACTAATAGGATGGTGTCAAATCGCAAAGAACCACTGAAAAGGACTCCTTTGACTTGAAAAATAGTGACTCCATATGAATTAATTTAAACATGAAAAAAAGAATGAGCACACAGTTATTTGAATCATGATGAACATATAAGAACCATGAATTAAAAATGGTATTTAAGGGGCGCCTGGGTGGCTCAGTTGGTTAAGCGTCTGCCTTCGGCTCAGGTCATGATCCCAGGGTCCTGGGATCGAGTCCTGCATCGGGCTCCCTGCTCAGCTGGGGAGCCTGCTTCTCCCTCTCCCTCTGCTCCTCCCCCTGCTTGTGTGCTCTCTCTCTCTCTGTCAAACAAATAAATAAAGAGGTAAGGGCCTAATTGTTTAAAAAAATATTTAAAAAATAAAGTAAAAATTTTTTTTGGTCACTAACGAGGGACCTTAGGGCACTAACTCACTTTGATAATTGGCAACTACATGGAAAAATCGAGCATCTGTCCTGCCTGTATGTTAGAGAAAGTAAATAACCATAGTTGATGAAGGAAACCAAGTCTTTACAGAATTCCAGCCAACAACTGTGGGAGGAATCACAGAATTGGAAAAGCCCTTTTTGTGCAATTAATTAAGTCCAGCAAAGATCACTGAAGGATGAAATGGTTAGATAAAAGGCTGATGGGGGACTCTGCAATGGAGCCATCAGGCTGTGGTGCCTCCCATCCCTCTCAGGACAGGACTGAGAAGGGGACACTGCAGGCCACCCTCAGATGTCAACCTGAACCTACTCAGGCCTTTCCGAATACCTCCGATTTTCAGGAAATCCAGACCATGGGACATTTTAGAGGATAGCTGACCTGCGGTCTTGCACAAGTTCATGACATTGGGGAGGGGGCAAAAGGAGAAGCCAGAGAGGGAGAGACATAATAACTAAGTGCAATGTGTAGATATTCATATGGAACTGGATTGGAAGAAATCAGCCATAAGAAGACATTTTTGAGAGAGCTGGGAAATTTTAATATGGACTGGATACAGATGACACCAAGGAATCACTGTAATTTTGTTAGATGTGATAGTGGCACTGTGGTTAATACAAGGTAATGTTGATTTTTTTAGAGCTACATACTGAAATGTGAGGACGAAATGACAAACAGTAAAGGATTTCATTAACACACTTATGCCAAAAAAAAAAAATAAGTGTTGCAGGTGTTTCAAAATCTTGATGATTATTGAACCTGGACAGTATAAGGGGGTTCTTTACAGTTTTCTATTTGTTTTTGTATCTACTTAAATTTTTTCATAATACAAAATTAAAAATAAAAAACATTTGAGATCTGGTTATAAAACACAATGAAGTTTGCCAAAGAAAAGGGAGAGGTAGTACCTTTTTAAAATTTAGGAACCTAAGTTATCTCTCAGAGGACTTTCAGAGGACTTCACTGTTTTCTTGGAGCTTTCTGCCAAGTGGCTTTTGGAACTAGTAACTCAACTTTGTCATTTCCATGTGACTAGGACATCACTTTTTAATACTCGACCCTTCTCCATTTTACTTACTGCAAATTGTATAGGCCTAGAAGTCCCATTCCTCGAAAATCTGTTTTAGGATCATCACCTTGGAAACCAATTTCACACCACTGCTTAGAAATCCGAGATTCCAATGGAGTATTGGGCTTCAAGAATTTCCATAACTGGAAGACAAGACAGAAAGTTAGCATGTTGGTGTAAACACAAACGCTCTTTCCTGTGGTAGATTTTGTAAACTACATTATTAGGAGGAGTTTTACAAAGCTGAATATAGAGTTGATCATATTTCAATGATTTGGACAGCAGTTCTCACAGTATGGTCTGAAGACTCCCTGGAGGGAACTCCAAGACCTTCTCAGAGGGCCTGGGAGGTAAAAACTACTTCATAATAAAACTAGGAGGTTATTTGCCTTTTCCCTCTCATCTTCTCATGAGTATATAGTGGAATTTTCTAGAGGCTGCGTGACATGTGATAATGTCATTACTCTGGAGGCTATGGAATGTGTACTTGTATATTTTAGTGTTTTACATCTTTCTGTTTTAATTTCTAATAAAAATAAAACTGCATAATCTCCCACAAAAGGTCCTCAAAAAGATGTAAGAGAATGAAGGTAAGGGGTGAACAAGGAAAAATTTGAGGCCATGTATTATTTTTACAGCATTATTAACAAAAAGAAAAGTGGACTGACTTGAGTTTCATTTCTCACCTGCAGCAGAGGTGAGAATAAACAAGCATCATATAGCTGGATAAAGGAGGATCATTGATGTTCATGAATAAATAAACCTCAAAATATATTATCATTTTTAAGAGTTACCTAAAATAATTTTAATTCCAATCAGTATATATTAATTGACAAATACAAACTGCAAACACTATGCTCTTCACTGCCTAAGGAGCTCGTTCTATTATCCTGAGTTTTCTATAGAAAGACAGATTCAGCACATACTATTACTTGAGAAAGAGTGAGACCCACAGCTGCATAAATATATAATGCTCAAACTAGTCTTTCAAATAGAGATGGGCATATAAGCAAATTTACTTTTTAGACTATTAATAATATATCTTTATTATAGACAGGGACAAATACAAATGTAAAATTTTCTTAATACTATTTCAGGCATAATTCAACTTCTAAATTGTTTATTCTATGATATATGGATTTTAAATCTTACAGAGAATAGTAATACAGAAACAGCTTGCTTTATAGTGAATTGTCACATCTGACACAATATAGAACATAACATTCAGTGACAGGAAACACTAACCAAAAAAAAAAAAGATACAATTCAAAGGATGCAATATGTTAGTGGCTCAACAGGTAAATGCAATCTGAAGGGTGACAGAAAAAATTCAGAGGGAAGAAAGTAAATCTGTCATGCTTGAAAGCAAAGTAGCAAACATGAGTATAAGAAATTTCTTTTTCTATTATGCATATGAGAATTTGCCAGTGGTCTACATTCATTAGGACAGAAAATGTTTGAGTTCAACAGAGGAGCAATAAAAAAATGAGAGAAAAGGCCTCTTTTATCAGATAAAGGGCTAGTATCCAAAATCTATAAAGAATTTATCAAACTCAACACCCAAAGAACAAATAACTCAATCAAGAAATGGGCAGAAGACATGAAATTTTTCCAAAGAAGACATCCAAATGGCCAACAGACACATGAAAAAGTGCTCAACATCACTCAGCATCAGGGAAATCCAAATCAAAACCTCAATGAGAGGGGCACCTGGGTGGCTCAGTCGGTTAAGTGTCTGCCTTCGACTCAGGTCATGATCCCAGGGTCCTGGGATCGAGCCCCACATTGGGCTCCCTGCTCAGCGGGGAGCCTGCTTTTCCCTCTCTCTCTGCCTGCCACTCTGCCTACTTGTGTTCTGTCTCTCTGTCAAATAAATAAATAAAATCTTTAAAAAAAAAAAAAACCTCAATGAGATACCACTTCACACCAGTCAGAATGGTTAAAATTAACCAGTCAGGAAATGACAGATGTTGGCGAGGATGCAGAGAAAGGGGAACCCTCCTACACTGTTGGTGGGAATGCAAGCTGGTGCAACCACTCTGGAAAACAGTATGGAGGTTCCTCAAAAAGTTGAAAATAGAGCTACCCTACAACCCAGCAACTGCACTACTGGGTATTTACCCCAAAGATACAAATATAGTGATCCGAAGGGGTATGTGCACCCTGATGTTTATAGCAGCAATGTCTACAATAGCCAAACTATGGAAAGAGCAAGATGTCCATCAACAGATGAATGGATAAGGATGTGGGGTGTGTGTATACACACACACATACACACACACACACACACACACAATGGAATATTATGCAGCCATCAAAAGGAATGAAATCTTGCCATTTGCAATGATGTGGATAGAATTAGAGGGTATTCTCTGAAAAACAAACTGAGGGTTCTAGAGGGGAGGGGGGTGGGGGGATGGGTTAGCCTGGTGATGGGTATTAAAGAGGGCACATTCTGCGTGGAGCACTGGGTGTTATGCAAAAACAATGAATCATGGAACACTACATCAAAAACTAATGATGTAATGTATGGTGGTTAACATAACAATAAAAAAATTATTAAAAAAAAGAATTAGAGGGTATTATGCTAAGCGAAATAAGTCAATCAGAGAAAGACAATTTTCATATGATCTCACTGATACAGAGGAATTCTTAATCTCAGGAAACAAACTGAGGGTTGCTGGAGTGGTGGGGGGTGGGAGGCATGCGGTGGCTGGGTGATAGACATTGGGGAGGGTATGTGCTATGGTGAGTGCTGTGAATTGTGTGAGACTGATGAATCACAGACCTGTGCCTCTGAAACAAATAATACATTATATTAAAAAAAAAAAAAAAGAAAAGATAGTAGGGAAGGGAAAAATGAAGGCGGGGGGAATTGGAGGGGGAGAGGAACCATGAGAGACTATGGACTCTGAGAAACAAACTGAGGGTTCTAGAGGGGAGGGAGGTGGGGGGAAGGGTTAGCCCAGTGATGGGTATTAAAGAAGGCACGTAATTGGAGAACTGGGTGTTATATGCAAACGATGAATCATGGAACACTACATCAAAAACTAATGATGTAATGTATGGTGATTAACGTAACATAAAAGAAATTTAAAAAAATGTTAAAAAAAAAGAGGGCATGTATTGAATGGAGCACTGGATGTTACACGCAAACAGTGAATCATGGAACACTACATCAAAAACTAATGATGTAATGTATGGTGATTAACATAACATAATAAAATAAAATTAAAAAAATAAAAAATAAAAATTCTTTAGGAACTGATTTGGTTACTGCCACAATGAAAAAAACAAACAAGAACGAAAGGAAACAGTTGGTAAAGCTCATCACACTCATTTAGTCAATAATTCGAAGGAATCTCAGGGCCTTACACAGTGGAGTGAAATGGCAAAAGCAAACATTTCATTCCTATAGCTAGGTTATAAACCTCATTCATTAGGGGAATACTTTAGGGGAGTAAAAGTTTGAATAATGCTTAAAAAAGAAATTCCATTTTAATAATTTTGTGTATCATGACAGACTAGACCAATGGCTAAAAAGTGTTCTTAATTAAGTGCTTAATCCTATCTGCTTTAATAAGGGCCACTTTCTCAGAAAATGAAAGTCAATTATGCTAACGTACTTCTATGAAGTGCTACTATGTGTATATTTCCTTTAAGAATGAGCTACTGGATTCTCCTCTGATAGGCTCTTCTCTGAAAAAGTAAGGGGAGGAGGCAGGGTGGCCTTGAAGGGTGAGGTCATTTGTTGCATATATGGAGCTGACCAGAAACCTGAACAAAGGTGGCAGGCCTCTGATGGGGGGCTCTGTGGAGTTCAGCCCTCCAAACTGTGCTGGTGGGAGTGGAGTTATTACAGAGTTACCTGCTACAGGCAGGAGACCAGAGATAGAAAGGGTGATTCCTGTGGAAAATGACAAGCTTCAGATGTGGAAGCTGTACCCTGGGTCAGACTGTCATCCATCATGGCCTACGCTCTGTTTAACTCTGTTCTCTTTGCACTGAGCCTTTACCACAAGCTTATTTCAACATTTCCCCTTGTCTCAGGTCTGCTGCAGAAGAGCAAGGGCAAGGCCATTTGTCTATCCATTCATTCAAGGAAAAGCAGCCTCACACCAAGGCCACCTTGGAATTATCTCTTCCCATCAAGAGAGGATCTTTTAATTTTGGGTTTTGTTTTGTTTTAGATGGGGGGGGAGGGAGGGGCAGAGGGAGAGAGAGAATCTTAAGCAGGCTCCACGCTCAGTGCTGAGCCCAATGCGGGGCTCGATCCCATGACCCTGAGATCATGACCTAAGCTGAAATCAAGAGTTGAATGCTCAAGTGACTGAGCCACCCAGGAGCTCCTATTTTTTTCTATTAAGTACATGACTTCACCTAAAATTTTCACCTTATTATTAATGTGGTTAGCAAATGTTTAGTAGAATAACATATTGATGAATAACATATGGACAATGCTATATGAACATAAAGTAATGTTATTCAGTTTCATCTCACCCTATATTTGAATGATCATAAAATCCAGATTTTTTTATATTTTAAGACTAAGCACTGATAATGGTCTCCCATGTTTATAAATGAAAGCACTTAAACAAAATGGCAATATATTACCTAAGTCTCTAAATCAAGGGTTGGCCAAGTTTGCCTGTAAAGGGCCAGATAGTAAATATTTTAGGCTTTGGTGGCCAAATGGTCACTGCTGCAATTACTTAATTTTGCCACTGTAGTACAAAAGAAGCCACAGACGGTGGTATACACATGTATTTACATACATCAATGAATGGACATATTCCAATAAAACTTTACTTACGAAAACGGGTGGCAGGCCAGATTTGGCCCGCAGGCCTTAGTTTGCCGGCTCTTGCTCTAAACAATTTATGAAGTGGGTAGCAAGAGTATTACTACCCACATTAAAGATGAAGCAGCCTAAGATCAGGCAGTTAAACACAAACCACAGGCTAGCCTCTCGAAATACAAATGGGAACAAGACACATTTCTCCCTTGGGAGGTGGCGTAGTGCAGTAGCGTGGAGCCCTTTCTAACTATGTGAGCTTGGGCAGTACTTAACTGCTCAGCCTCGTTTTCCTCACCTGAAAATCTCACCACAAGGTTGTGACCGTTACATGAAATAATGCTGTAAAACATTTACTGTAATGATTAACGTGTGCTAAATACTCAATGTTTTATTATTATTGATTTCATTATCATACTTGGGATTTGAATAAACTAAAGAAGAGAAGAGATCCCATTCCTAAGTATTCTTGGGGAGACTAGAGAAGATTTCAAAATCAAATGAGTAAGGATTTAAAAAAGTGCTGGCTTTTGCTGTGAGAATAATAGGTAATAGAGGGAACCACATGAGCAAATACCTGGGCATAAGGGATGGCACGGCCTATTCTGGGTCAATGACAGAGCATGGAGGACACAGGAGATACAGCTTGGAAAAACAGATTGCAAAGGGTCCAAAATGCCATGCATGGGATTTCTTCTGTCAGATACAGGGAACCTAAAGTTTTTAACTTAAGGAATAACATGACTAGATAACCCCTCCAGCAGTATTTTAGAAGATGGAAGGGAGGAAGCTAATACTTAGTGGCAGAATTAAAAGGCTATTATAATGGCCCAAGCTGGAGATAATACTAGAATAAGGTGGTGGGCATGGGAAACATTCAGGACCTATTTTGAGGGAGGTCTATGGATAAGACTTAGTGATTTTTGTAGATGCATAGTATCTCCCCAATTAGACTGCAAGACACTTGAGGATAGAAAAGATGCCTTTCCTCAAAGTGCTTAAGGCAGTAGTGGACAGTCCTGGCTTTATAATTTATTAGCTCTATGAATCAGAATCTGGACTGAAATGCTTGTAGTTTGCTGTAGATACCAACCATCACCTTGCTTACCTCTTACAGCTGTGCCAGTAAAAAATAACACATACAAACTCAAATCACAACCACGGATAAAAGGCATATCATAAAAGTTCTTGACTTCTAGTATCTAATGAACCACAGTAATTCATGCTTTTCCCTGTATTTGTTGAAAACCCACTATATGCAGCATCCATACAATAAGAGCAGCTAAGACGGTGCACAGCAGGCACCTGGATGTCACTGATTCTGAAGGCGTCATGGCCATTCTAACGAATTCTTCAGCTGCCTGTGGCCGCTCTGTTAATTTTTCTACTTCTCTTTCATTCACCTCTTAGTTCTCACCTTAAGTCATTTTAATTAAGCTTGACTACTTCTATCAGAAAATATGATAAAAAAAAAAGCAATAATAGGAAATGAAGCTCAGCCAGTAGGTTAGCTAAATTTAAGCAGAGCAGAAAGGGAAGAAGAAAAACTACTGCTAAGAATGAGCCTTCTTTCATTTTTAGGGATTCATATCAGATATAGCACTAATTAGCAGAGACAAGTCATCTGCGTAAGTATTTACATACACAAAAGCATGCACTCCTTTACACAAATACAGCACTCCTTCACACAAAATTACAGCTCCTATTGACAGTTTTCAATAAGATAAAGTTAAGGCAGCTAAACAAATGTTTCCTTCCAATTTTGTTAGTGTCTTTGTATTCTAGCAAAGGACAAGGAAGCACTTCATCCTCAAAAGCATCTATTTTCAGAAGTGAATTTAAAAAACATTCCAGATGAATAGTTCTAACGGTTGGGTCTTAATTTCTTAAACTCCAAATTCAGTGTTTTGAGGGTCAAGTTTTATTGGTGTTTAATAATGCACATCAGATCATGCAAGATCTTTAAGGTTTTGCTTTGACAGCGAGAAGAAGTATTCACAAGTGCATATTGTTCTTCTAACAGTTTTAATAAACCAGATATAAACTTTAACTTCCTCTTCTGATACTCTCCAAGTTACATGAATAAATAATCAGCAATAAGATCTTAGGTAATTTCCCAAGAGGGCTATTGCTGAAGCAGAAACCAACTTCATCATCTTTGATGTCTATTAAAAGTCATAAATGGAAATCCCAGGTCACTCTTTGACAAATGCTCTTTCTCCTACTGGCTTCCAATACAGGTAAGCAGCCTAAACCTGAGCCAGAATCTGAGCACTCATGGAAATCACCTCTGATGCTCTCTCAGATTTAAAAAAAAAAAATGGCTTTACATTTAGCTTCCCACATGAATTTTCTAAAGAAGAATTTACCTCGTACATCTGAACCAGCAAGCAAAGTAGGCTTTACCAACCAGTTACACGCTTGTGTCTTATTCAACTTTATACCCTCCCCATCAGAGCAGTGTCTAGCATTTAGCAGGTGCTTGGCAGAGGTTAGCTGACCTAAGAAAAGCACTGAAATGTGTTCGAGGTCTAACCTTCAAAAGCATTTCTTCATGTTGGGGGTTATCAGAATCATAGGGTTCTCTGCGCAGTTTTTCCACATCTGCGATAAGGTTTCTGTAGCCAACAATTTGCAGAAGGCAAGCCTGAAGAGAGATTCCCAACCTAAGGTGTTCAAAAACAAGAAACACACATGAGGAAAAATAGAGCATATATTTTGGCATTTGTTCACTTGATGTGTGCACAATAGGATTTCCATATCTATTTAATATTGAGGAAATTGCTCGTACGGGATGTTTTTGATCGAAGCCCAGTTTTTCTTTTCTTTTTGTGGACAAAGAACCATATTTAGTTTACTGAGAAAAATAAAGGAATGTAACATTTCCTGCATTGGTCTCACAATCACTTCTGACTTGAGTGGAGGAAGTACAGTTTCTTTACTGAAGCTCCATATGGACAGTTGTAGAACTTGGCTAAAATTTACCTTTTGTTCTGGCCTTTTCTTAAACCAAGTTGCAACAATATGGCTTAAAAAATAAGGAAGCTCTTTTTGCCGGTGACTTAAGTAAGATGTAGAAAATATAGGTGATAATGTGTGTGAGAGAGACAGCTAGCTCTCAGGGGCACAGTGGAAGGAAAATTTCAAAACAACAGTAACAAAACAAATACAAAAACATCTGTGCTCGGGAGCATCCCTGACAGATGAGGCAATGCCAAGAGAAAGAACTCACTACTTTATAAAGTTTCTCATTCCATTCTGACTGCTCTATTTGTCTGAATGCTTTTTCTTGTGTTGAAACAAAATTTGCTTTCCTTATTACTAAGTGGTTCAAATTTTGTTCTCTGAGCAAATTTATTTCCAACTTTCCCCTGTCGTGACTACTTATTTTAAGATAGTGATTCTTTCTTCTAGTCTGATCTCCAGGGTTAAAAAAAAAAAAAAAAATCCCGGATTTCTTCAGTTCCCCCTCATGGGACATGGGTTTCACATGTTTTACTCTCTCACTCAGTCTTCTCTGAATGTATTCTGTTTGAATAACACCCCCTTAAAACAGATCACCAGAACAGAAAACAGTTTAGCAAGCATGATATACAGAGGATCACTACTTCCTGTGACCTCAGTGTTGTTTTTCTCTCCTACAACATAGCAGATAAAATAGGGTCTTTTCAAGTAGTCACATAACAACTTTATCAAGCTACTGTCATGTAAATTATTTTCCTGTACTTGTTTGATGGCATTTTTAAATCTAAAGGTAGTATTTCACATTTATGTATTCCGGTTGTTTCTTTATAGCCATTCACTTTTGTAGCTCCAAGATAGTTGAACATTGGCAATTTCATATGATTCTACTCAGAGTTACTGTCCAATATGCTTCTACTCCCAATTCACACTACATTTGAGGATTTTTGTTGTGGTGGTTATTATAATCATGACTATCTTTTTTTTTTTTTTGAAGGAGAAAATGAGATATTTAGAGGTTAAGTCTAACGCTGGGAGTAATAGAGAATTATACATTTTAGGATTGTATACCTATTCCACACATTGAGCACAGGGTCAGATAGCCCAAATACTAAACTTAAATAAAACTTGAATGTTCAATTAAATGGTCCTTATAGTTGTCTGTTACCAAAAAACCAAATGAGAGGGCGCCTGGATGGCTCAGTTGGTTGGGCGACTGCCTTCGGCTCAGGTCATGATCCTGGAGTCCCGGGATCGAGTCCCGCATCGGGCTCCCTGCTCGGCGGGGAGTCTGCTTCTCCTTCTGACCCTCTTCCCTCTCGTGCTCTCTAGCTCTCATTCTCTCTCTCTCAAATAAATAAATAAAATCTTAAAAAAAAAAAACAAATGAGATATTTAAATTTAGGAAAAGGGCAGAGTGGCACTGGTCACCCAGGGAATCAATATAGGACTGAGAAGAGAGTTGATTTTGAGGAAGAGAGCAAGAGAAATAAAACAGGAGGGAACAAGAGGAGCCAATTCCATTTTTTTCCATTTTTACTGTAGTAATTTTTCAAGTGCATAAACAGCACTTTGAAAAAATGTAATTAAAACAAATTGTTAAAAATTATGGAAGCAGCCCAAGTGTCCATCAATAGGTGAATGGATAAAGAAGATGTGGTGTGTGTGTATATATACACAATGGAATATTAGTCATAAAAAAGAATGAAATCTTGTTTTTTGCAACAACATGGATGGATCCAGAGAGTATTATGCTAAGTGAAATAAGTCAGTCAGAGAAAGACAGATACCATATGATTTTACTCATGTGGAATCTAAGAAACAAAACAAAAACAAAGGGGGGGAAAAAGAGGCAAACCAAGAAACAGACTCTGAGCTATAGAGAACACACCGATGGTCACCAGAGGGGAGGTGCGTTGGGGGAATGGGGGAAACAGGTGATGGGTATGAAGGAGGGCACTTGTTATGATGAGCACCAGGTGATGTATGTAAGTGTTGCATCGCTATATTGTGCATCTGAAACTAATATAACATTGTATGTTAACTACACTGGAATTTAAAAAAAAAACCAGTGTGGTTAATGGTAGTAATAGCTTGATAAATTATAAAACATTTCACCTAGCCTTCTCTATTTCCAGATTTTTTTTCCAGAAAATTATTTCATTTTAAAAAATTACATTTTGTCATGTCAGTCTAGAAAAAAAGCACTGAAATCCACATTGAGATGTAAAGACACAGTCTACTGCCTATAAGGGTTTTTTCCACCCTAAAGGAAATCAAAAGAATAGATGACAAGGAAATGCTTCTGAATGAAACACATAACTTTCATAGAAGGGACAAAAAAGATTTACTGTTAAATCGAATCCAATCTCCAAATATGATTGTGGGTCTAATATATCCCTCATGCCCAACTGCAGTCTTAAATTTTTGGTTCAACTTAATTTAAAATGAATTGCCTTCTTATCTTCCCAAAGAAATAAAATATATGTCAGAGGTTTCAAAAAGACATTTGCTGTATAATTAAATCACCCTTAATGACTGAATAAGGAAAAGACAGCTAATTAGCTGAAGTGTCTGCAGAAGAATGCTGTGGAGACCATGTGGAAATGGAGTTTTGTGATGAGCTCCAATTGCTAGTGCCCAGAATCCCTCCCTCCAAGAGACAGACCTATACGCAGCACTCTCTGAAAGTCTCTTCAACTACAGCTCCGTCTTTGGCAATTAAAAGCCTTTCTCAGCGATAATGCGAAGTTCTCCCCTATGCACATCTAAAAGACAGTTTGATTGTTACCTACCTAAACTGTCTCTAAATATATCTGCCTGCGGAATTTATTCTACCCAATGTCCTTAGCCCAAAATTTTACTGAAAAACTCTTCTACCCAAGGGAAAATATAAAGCTAATTTTAAACGTCATGTACATTGCCAAATGCATTTTAATATTTCCAATATGAGATGACTAAATTACAAAGTTCTGAAGTCTTCATATAAAAACCATCTCTCCCTCCCACACATGCCAGTCTTCTTGACAAGCAAGTAGGAACCATCTCCAAGATTATCAGCCTGTCATAAACTGAAGGAATATTTTTGATGGAGCAGAATCAGCTTAGGCACATTTACAATGTGAACATTTACTGTTAGTGTAATTAAAACAGGTGTCGCCCGGAGCCACTGTTGATAAATGGGCTCCTTTGATTTCATCTTCTGATATCAGGGCATCCATCAGATTTCTTACTGCAGCTCAGAAGCATAAGCATAAATCATGACAGAACTAGAGAGCTGCTGCTATTTACAAATATGAAAAAGGCACCTTTTTTTCTTTATTCTTCATCTGAAAACCAGACATATTGAAGATGACTGTGGCAGGGAGAGAGGGAGAGCATGCTAGCGAGCTCAGCACTACCGAAATACTGAGTACGTGCCACGTGTTCTGTGTTTACAACAGCATAAATGCATTCTTACTGTGGATTTATGTCGGGGTTAATTTTCTTCAGTTCCATGATGTCCTCTATAGTTTTCTCAATGGCGTCAGGGTGAACACTCACTGAAGTCTGCAGCAGCTGGAAGACATGGTTCAGGCAATTCCCTTGTCAAGAGCATCAGTGGCTTGAGTGGGATCTATTTAGATGGGACTTCAAGTATTTGCTTAGAGCTTTTAGTTTAATTACAACTAAACTAAAAGCAAAAATTGGTTTCATATTTGAATTCTTGTAAATTAGACATTTTCACAATAGGGGGGTAGTGCAGTTTTCCTGATTAAGGTAATTAACATAAAACAGAAATAAGTATTTTTTTTTTTACTATTTCCATCTTTTTCAAGCTACTTATATTGAAATATTATTTTATTTTTCTTATCCAATATACATGGTTTCCATTGTTAATGGGCAGTATGCCAATGACTAAGTGAAGTACATGGAGGATATAGTCTTGGGGATGCCAAAATTAAGTAATAATATTCAAGAATCTTGAAGAAAAACACCCCAGATTTTCTCTCTTATGTGGATGCTTAACTGCTATACAAGCTAGCATAGTGGCTTCTCTGATTTTCTTGGGAAATCTTGAGTATAAAGTTAAATGATTTGGATATTTAAGAAATGCCAGAGAGTTAACATTGCTCTTATTTTCAAGGAATATTTATTCTATAATTTGGAAGGTATAAAAAATCAACTTCAACAATGAAGTCATAAGTGCATCATAAATCTGCCTAAAAATTCACATATAGTAGCTGCTCTCATGTCAAAAGTGGAGTGGCTTGTGATGGGCAAATAACTCTTTCTTCTCAGTTTGCACAGCCATTGGTATATTTTTGTTTCTTAAAATGTTTAGTTTTTGATAATGGAGGTGAGCTGCCGAGTGAAAAGTTGCTGGAAAATATAGAAACAATTTTACTTACCTTACTTTTTGAATCCCTCAGTGATGTTTCTGTAAAAGTGACAATTAAAAAAAGCCATTCAAAAATTTTCCTTTACAAGTGGTTTAAAATTACTATACACAAAATATAACACACTATTCCACAATCTGACCAAGCTTACATTTTGCTTACTTCTTTGTTTCATGCTTACCGATTTTCATGGTTCTAGAAGCCCCAGGCTTGGTATTGTAACAGATCCGTTGCAATTCACATCTTCCAGTCAGCTTCCTCATTACAAATTTTAGGCAGCGCCACAAAAATTTACAGTAAAAATACAGGCACACCTGGAACAACATTCTGTCAAAGACAAAAGACAGCACCCTTCCACTAGAACTCTGGAAGAGAACAGAAAGCAGCCACCACCAGCAGGAAAAGCCCAGAAGAAAATCAACCATTAGACTTCTGGGCTTATAAGCATATTTTATTTTTCTAATCCCATGTTATTTTTATTTGACATATCTATAAAACCCATTATTGGGAGGGAAGCCCAGGGTCTGTGACGATGCACTATCTATCACTGCAAGCAACTCCAGAACGCTCTATTCTAGTAAATTTGATATTCCAAAAACTGAGGGTGAGGCTCAGCCAAGAATCCTTTCTTACTCTGCCTTTGCCTAAAAACATTTTGAAAATAAACCAGTACATAAGTACCTTGAAAACAGTATCCTTGTGTTTTAGAAGTTGGCTCTCCCTTAGTCCTGGGGAAGAACATGCTCCGGCAGCTCTCTTCTTCTGCCTCTGTAGACAGCCTCTCAGCTCGTCCTAGTCAATTTCCAGCCCCTCCTTAGTGCCTTCTTTGGCCCGGGGCCACTATTTTGATTCTTCCTCTCTTTGATTCTTGCTCTCATCCCTTCCTCCTTCCCTCTGCTTTCCTTTAGGCACTCGTCCCCCTACAGGACTTGCTTGTGTAGCACCTGTCTTCTCTGCTGCCCAGTCCTGCCACTCCTTGGACTTGCCAGAAGGCTCCTCATCAGTTCATTGAACAAGTGGGTTGACCTTTAGTTTTCCAGCATTCTCTGATTTAAACCTTCCCCACACTCTACCTCTTGACAAGTTTGTTCTTGGCTCCTGCTAACAAAGTTTTCTTTATAGCACCCTCTATCTCACTCCAATAATTCCTCAACAAACCATCAAGTGTACAGTCGCCAATCATGTACTTACGTCTTTGGCACATGGGGATTTGTGTTTTATGCTTTTATTTTTAATATGTGAGTTTCTTCCACTTCACGGTACTGTTTAGAGTCTCAAAATGACTCAAGCTACACAAGTAAAGAGGACTTCTCATCCAGGAACTTATATTCAACCCATCTTCTCTTCCTACTAGGCATTCCTTGGAGGCAGAATTATTTATATAACTTCCTTTTGGTGTCACTTCTAAAAGATGTTTCTTTTTCACAAATGTTCACTAATTCCCTCCAGCTCTAACATAAGGCGATCCAGGGTCACTCAGATTAATGAGAATAGTTAACTAACAGCCTTAGTGATGTGATCCAATCTATGAATATGAACCAACACTTTGTGTTCCTTTGCTTAATTGCTCTGGCTCTAATATCTTGGACAGCCTGTGTTAAAAATAAAAATTCTAATAGGCTTACTTGTACAAGGGCATGGGATCTATATCATGTAAATGCAAAGGGAACGAAGGAAACAGTAACGAAACTGCTATGCTAAGATAACACAATGGAATCCTTTGTAGGCAACAAAATTATGTTCTAGAAGATCTAGTAACATGAGAAAATGTCATAATATGCTTAACAAATAGAAAAAATTAGAAATAAACACATATGAAATGATCTACTTTTTCCTTAAAAAAAATTTAATGGTGGGGCGCCTGGGTGGTTCAGTTGGTTTAGTATCTGACTCTTGATTTCAGCTGTGGTCATGATCTCAGGGTCTTGAGAACAAGCCCTGTGCCAGGCTCCACGTTGCATGTGGAGCCTTCTTAAGATTCTCTCTCCCTCTCCCTCTGTCCCTCCCCATCCCTCTCTCTCTCGAAAAAAAAAATTGTCATGTATGAACTAGAAGAAAAAGATGCAGGATATACAACAAAAATGTTAACAGTGGTATTTCTAGGTAAAGGAATTATGAGTACTTTCATTTTTGGCTAAGTATATTTTCCTTTTGTACATTTTATTTTATTTAAGAAAAAAGGTTGTAACAGTTAAAATGTATAAAATGATCACCAAAAGCCATTACAAAAATGCATATAAAATATCTATGTGAAGTCAGATTCTGCTGCAAGATAAAAAACAGACTATCTCATAAAATCTGAAATTCAACTATTTTAGTCAAATACATCCTAAAATGTATTAGGATTGAGGTTATCAGCTTCCCTCCCCCACAAAAAGGTAACCTAAAAATAAATTTAGAGGAACGCCTTTTTTTTTAAAGATTTTATTTATTTGTTTGAGAGAGCATGAGCGCGCACAAGTGGGGGGTAGGGGCAGAGGGAGAAGCAGGCTCCCCTGCTGAGCAAGGGGCCCAATGCAGGACTCCATCCCAGGACCTGGGATCATGACCTGAGCTGACGGCAGACGCTTAACCAGCTGAGTCACCCAGGGGCCGCTAGAGGAACATTTTAATTCGATGAGTGAGAAATTTTATGAAACTTCAACTTTCTCTCTTGGAAAAAATTTTCTGTTTTTCCACCTAGTAGATAGCCATGCCAGAAGAAAAGACTGAGCAATATCTTTGTTAACTGGTCACCAGCCAAGTGGTAATGATATTACAGGTTGGCTTTATGCCTGTTACTAAGTTGAGGATAAAAGCTTTACATGATCTGTTCTTATGGTGCCCATGTAATTTGCCTAGCACAGGAGCCAACTCCACAAACGAAGCCTCTTCAGTTCATGTGTCAGGACTCCTAGGACAATCAGGTTCTTGTAGTACCAAATCTTCCTAGACAAAAGGGTTCTGATTATTGTTCAAGGAGTATCTTTGTATTTACTCTACTTAGGGTGCAAGCCACGAGACCATTTTATAGCTTAAACTAGAAAGTTTCCCCCATGCAACTTCTCCATCAGATCCATACAAAGATGTGGCTTGAGGCCTAGAAGTGTCTTCCTAGGGCCAGGGAGTGTCCAGGTGTACAGTGGCTTCTAGACCATCTGTAATTTCTCCCAGTGGCCTCCTTGCACGTGAGAAGAAAATGCCTGGGGAGCTGTTTTGCATTAAGACAGCCTTACATAAAAGGAGAGAAAAGACATCATATTCTGTTTGCTTTCCTTTTTTCTTTTTTTTCAACTCCCCTGAGGAGGTTCCTACTGTCAAAGACTGGAAAACTCAGTGGAAATGTACAGTGAGGGGTTCGAGATGCTGCATCATCCCTCTGGGCTCATCTCTCTGAGGTGTACCGCATCCCTCTCAAAAAAGTCACAGAAACACTGTCACAAACTGTGTACAAAAAATGCCCATTCACTTGCAAAGTGACATTTATACACTGCTTCTTTACTCTTTTGTAATTTCTGGGCCAGTTGTCCTGATAATATTAATTATGAAGGATATTATGTTAATTTTTTTCCTAATGGGCGAAAACACCCACAAATATTTCATTAAAATGCCAGCTTGCTGTGCTAGGCACTGTGTTTTCTTGCTTTGCTAGGTACTTTGTATTTTTTCAAGCCAGATCATCAGGTCAGTGTTTTGACAGATATAATTTATTTTGCATTTAGATCATAAATCTAAGGCATGGTCAGAGATGGAAACACCAGTGCTGCCCTTTACTTTGGAAGCCTTACTTTGATGACAAAAACAATATCCAACTTGCTTGGATAGAACCAGATCAGCAAAGCCTCCCTATGAGCATCTCAGGATGGCTGTTCTTCACCATTGGGTGTTGCCAGGGGCTTACTTTTCAAATTTTTGGACCTATTTAAGTCCCCAAATTGTAAAGTTTATGAAAAAACTGTTGAAGGTCCAGAGGAGAATAAACATGATTAAATATTTTGGGAGAAATTTGGGAGAATATTTTGGCATGCTTACCCTGAAAAGGAAGAACTTAAGAAATGGATCTTCAAATGCTCTCAAGTTGATCAGTGGTTGGTTTAGGAGAAAAGGGAAGGAAGGAAAGGAGGGAGGGAGGGAGGGAGGGAGGGAGGGAGGAAGGAAGTTCCTACTCTGAGAATAAGAATTATAGCCACACCCTCTCCACTATTTGAACACTATTCAGAGGTTTTATAATTCTGCTTGGTCTTTCCTCCTGGCCTAACTCAGCAAAACAAGAGGCTTACTTTTAGTTAGGGGAATCTTTTGCTTTTTTTCTTTATAACACTAGACTTATTTTCTTAGTTCTGATGGAAGATTCTCAACTCAGTACTGAAAAGATCTACATTTGGTAGGAACAACAACAACATTCTCAAGAGTACTAGGAGAAAATACTGATCACTATCCCATTTTTTTTTAAATAATTTTTTATTGTTATGTTAATCACCATACATTACATCATTAGTTTTTGATGTAGTGTTCCATGATTCATTGTGCATACTATCCCGTTTTTAATAATTGTATGCATAGACAGCAATTTTTGTGTTCGTTTCTGTTTTTTTTTTTTAATCACAGCATTTGGGGATGGTGTTCCAGAAGGACTTATTGTGGCTTCCTAACAACGAATGCCTTGCACAAGCATTGGGAGAAACTGATTTAATAATAAGAACTACTTATGCATGTTTTATTTCCAACATTTTCTATTACAACTGTTTATTAATACGCTGCTAAGTAAGGTTTATGGTGGAGTTCACAGCAGTGTTTTTCCATAAGGCAGTTATGAACACTTCTATTATTTAACATCCATTCTCTAGCTTGAACCAGAATAGCCATCCAATGTAAATTATTCAAAATGGATTATATCTCTAACACCAAATAAAAGCGAGCTCCTGTCTTGTTGTGCTTTGTTAGAGGAACCCACACAGCAGGGATGAGGCCTCTGAAATGGGAGAATCACCCAGAACCATGCAGCCCCCTGCCTGCAGCGTGGGAGGTGTGGGTACCTGTAGTGCAACACTACTCCAGCATCTTAAATTTGTGACTGACGTCTTCGTTTGGAATAATAAGAGAAAAGTGGCTTATTTTGAACAGTTTCAATGAGTTTGCTAATGAAAGTTAATTCTTGCTTGAAGAAATCCTGTAATAAATAAGAAGTACACTACTGGTGAGGAAGGATACATACAAAGTAATCACATTTCTTGGTCAAACCACAGTTTCCTACATGAAACACTTTCCATCTAAGTGGCCATAAAGAACAACAAACTGCTCAATGTTTCCAGCATTTCATGCATTTTCTCAAATGATATTTAAAAAACTTTAGTTGTTCTACTGGAGTTCCTAATTAGGGGCACTGGCGATCAATAAAAATTAACTTGTCAGTAGGGGTTTGGCCTAGTCAATGGGCCCCTCTCTATAATGAGCTTGTTACTACTAAGAGAGGCTGGACAGGACCTGATGCATGAACTGATATTATGAAATCACAAAGAACCATTTGTGGGCCTCTAGAAGAACAAGAATGTTTCCCCCCATCGAGCCCAGTGCCCTGGGCATGAAGATCACACTGCCTTTGAAAAGTAGTGATATAAATTTATCCTGGATTGACACCATTCCAAATTCTATTGCTAGAGCAAAGGGCACTGTTTTTACACTCCAGGGAAATTTTATCTGAGGGCTTAGAGAGCAATAGCTGACAGAGGGATAACTAAAACAATAAATAAATTCATGGTGTATCTAGTATGAACTAGACTAGATATGGACCCTCAACTCTATAGTCTAGAGCATATGGATCTAGAACTCTGTGGTCATATCTATGGTCTAGATATGGACCCTCAACTCTATGGTCAAATAATCTTCGACAAAGCAGGAAAAAATATGCAATGGAAAACAGTCTCTTCAATAAATGGTGCTGGGAAAATTGGACAGCTATATACAGAAGAATGAAACTCGACCATTCTCTAACACCATACACAAAGATAAACTCAAAATGGATGAAAGACCTCAATGTGAGACAGGAATCCATCAAAATCCTAGAGGAGAACAGAGGCAGTAACCTCTTCGACATCGGCCACAGCAACTTCTTTCAAGA